TACCATTAGCGGTTAGGAGATATGCACATTAAACCTATTAGAGGGGACCACGCCCACTTTTAAAAATTTTAACTGCAGATGCCCCTCCCTAATGTGATCCTGTGTACCAAATAACAGTCTTGTATCTTATTGCGGAGCTTAGTTATGCAAGTTATTTGTTTTTGATTAATGGCGTTTCGTGGGCGTGCAGTGGTCCGATTACGCCCATCTGCAATACCAACGTCTCACGGTACCATGAAACATGTCTACCAAGTCTATAAAGATATCTCAATTTTACTCAAGTTAGAGCTTGCACGGACGGACGGACAGACGGACGGACGGACGGACAGACAGTCACCCGGATTTCAACTCGTCTCTTCATCCTGATCATTTATATATATAAACCCTATATCTAACTCGATTATTTTAGGTGATACAAACAACCGTTAGTGAACAAAACTATTATACTCTGTAACAGGTTGCGAGAGTATAAAAATAATTAACATACCGAGAATATATCCAGTCCCGAAAATTGGTGGGTTATTACCACTACTTCCTATTTAATGGCGTTAGGTGCACTGGTGTATAGCATCTGGTGGATCAGCTATAGCAAAAGTTTTGAATGACGTCAGGAATGGAAAGGAGCAGTTGGCTGAGGCTAGCCGCCATAATAGATATATGGAATCAATCGCTATGGGAGGTTTATTCCTCACGCCAGATTAAAAAGATATGGTTTATATTTACAAAATAATTTTATTATGAATTGAAACAACAGCCACTTCAAACAATTTGCTTTTTATTTCATTGAAAAGACGTCTTTTATATGCATTGAACCAAGTGGGGCTTATAGTATATATATAATTAGGTACACTCGCCAGAAATTATCCGTACACCTCGACACCGAAACAATAAACTGAGAATTTGTGATGAAATAACTTATTATATATAAAATAGTATCCAAAGTTTTATTCAGTATTTTACTACACTTTCCATGAGTTTTGTTTAGACATACACTTTAAAAAAATTTCACAGAACAAAACAAAAAGCTCACATAATGAAACAGAAAAGTATTCGTACATTTTGATTATAATTAAATATAATTAATTATTTTGGACAAATTTAATATCCTAATAACTAGTAGGATAGCCCTTACGTTTTAGGACCTCGGCAAGTCGATGTGGCATGAATGAACTAGTTTGGATGTGTCATGATTTGTAATTTCGCCCATTCATTTATGATCACATTTTGAACATTCTCTGAGGTTATGGTGTGTTGGCGGATTCTGCGCTCCAGTAAATCCACAAATGCTCGATGGGGTTGAGGTCTGGAGATTGAGGTGTCGAGCGCAATTGATTTTTATGTTATAAAGCAACCAAAGCCTTATCCTGTTGGAACCAAAATCATCACCAAGCCCCAACTGCCGGCACTTTCCTTCAAATTATTTTTAAAATACTTAAATAGCCGAATTGATCCATTATTGTATCTATAAAACGAGTTTGCCTACTCCTTCTGCCGCCATACACCCCCATACCATCACACCTCCTCCGCCATGTTTGACGGTGGGTAAAGATTTTTTATCAAGTGCAGTACCACTCTTACGCCACACCAACTTTTTCCTTTAATGCCAAAAATACAAAACTTGCTTTCGTCGTGAATAAGACACGTTCCCAAAACTCCCGAGGCTTTGCTGATATATTTGGCAAATCCATACGTTTCTGTCTATTTACTTCGGATATAAAGGGCTTCCTACGCGCTACACGTGCTTGATACCCATCTTCAAAAATTTTCGTACAGTATCTCATGGAGATCCTTTCGAACAAATTTTAATATTTTCACATATTTTCAAGCAGTAAGTCGAGGATTTGCTTTACTGACTGTAATATTGTTCGTTTTTCTCGAACGGTTAATATACTTGGTCGACCAGAGCGTGGCTTTGGCACAATCGACTTAGTTTTTGAATGCTTCCACCACATACTGCACAGAAGAATGTGTCCTTCCTATCATTTTACCATTTCTCGGAATGATTTGCCTTCTTTTCTGAGTGTAAGAATAATTTTCTTCGCCAGCACTAATTCTTTAATTTTAAGGGTCATCGCGAATTTATGCACAATGAAAATTATAATAACTTTAAGGTCAACCGTCAAGTTCGAGATTAATTATACAATACAATATAAGCGCTTAAGGGAATGTATTTGTCACCATATTACAAGGAAATATCCGTTTGATATGTACGGATACTTTTCCGTTGAATTTAAGTAACTGTGTTTAGTGTTTGTTCTCGGAATTTTTAAGTGTTTGTCTAAGTAAAAACGTATGAAAGTGCAGTAAAATATTAAATAAAACTTTGTATACTATTTTTATACATAATAAGTTATTTGATCACAAATTTCTCAGTTTATTGTTTTCATGTCGAGGTGTACGGATAATTTTTCTGGCGAGTGTATGTATTTTGTGGCTTGTTGATATATATCGTGCAGTGAAAAGTTTAGTTCCGCAAACCACCAGTTTGGCGCTACTACTACTCTACTTTTTAATTTTTGAATTCAATATTAAGCAGACAGTATAATAAAAGGGGAAAAAATGTATTCCCCGCAATATTTAGAAAAGTTTAAAAAAAAATATAACGATTTAATTGATAATGAACATCTAATATTTTTTTATTCTATAATAAATGACATGGTCGCAGTTTATCTGAACCATTCATATATTCACGAAATGGATTACACAAGAAAGATTGTCATTTTGCTGATAACTCATACAAGGGAATAGTAGATATATGTAATTGTATTTCGCTTTATGCCCGATATAAAACATTGCAATATAATTAATATGCTGTCATGCCAGGAGCCTTGATGGTTGTAATCAACACGAGAATACAAATCGAAATAAAACCACTGTCACGTTTTTGGCGCCTAGATTGTTGTGAAAACACATTTTATTAAAACACAAAAGGGTAAACTAAAATATGGTTCAAGAATATATATATAGGATTTTTATTTTATAATAATTTAATCGTAATAACATATTTACGATAATCACAAGGTGGAGTAATGGATTCTGAAAATTATGGAAGATTTGATAGTGATCAACAAATGTTCAACTTTGTATTTGATCCAGAAGAATTCGATAAGATGTTACAAAGTTTCGATGAGGAACAGTTAATAAGCCGCTTCAAAAACTAGAAGAGTCCGCTCAATCCCTTCAAGGTACAACTGAAGTGAAGACATATGTGTTAAATAAGCGTAAGAGAAAACGACCTGTAAAGATAATACAAGATAAGAGTTCTCCACAAAAAGCCACCCAACTAAAAGCTAACACTGCAAATGTAAATAATTGTATTGATCTTTGTGAATCAACACTAGACGCTGTTCCTATAAATGGTAGTTTAGACATTAAAGGGTTATTAACTGTTGGAAATTTTATTTTATATAGTAAGATGAAAGAAGTTCCTTCGTTTGAAGTTAATTTTAAAAATGATGAAGATATTCAGAAATTAAAATTTTTAATACAACAGTGGTTTGATGATGAAATTAAAGCGGATGATATTAATTATGAATGCACTCAAACTTCAACAAAAAAACATAATATTAGATGTGATGTTGAATGGATCCGTGAAGATAAACTTCTTAAAGACCTTTTAGGAATTGTATATAAATATAAATATAAAGTTGTAACAAATGTTTTATTTATTTTATAAATGTACAAATGTTTTAAATTTAAAATAATATATGAATATACAAAAGAAAAATATAATAAAAAATAAATAAAACAATTCTGTTACTTTTATTATTTTATATTCATCAGAATTGACTGCAACAAGAAAATGTGTGGCATATGTGGCGCAATGTTCACCTAGCTTAGTTGCAAATACGTTGACTTCAAATTCTCCATATGTTGCTTCTTTTTAAAATTTTTTAAGAGTTCCATTAGTTCTCAGATGAAAGTCATATTTTATTTGTTCGGTAAGTATTTGAAATACAAAACTTTAACAAACTATTTGTAAATCAAAAGACCACATATTATTATCCCTTCATTGATGTCTGATGGAATTCCTTCGCACTTGTTCATTGGATGCCATAATTATAAAAGGCGACAAAATTCCAATTCCTTCAGGAATAACACAATTTACAATAATATGATCATCATTTATATGAGAATTATATGGCGTATTAGGCATTTTAATTACAACAAATTAATATAAGCGAAAACATGAAGTTTACTGGTTTCATACACTCTCAACACACATGAACTTCGATTAAAAAATATCAACAAAATTATCAATCTTTAAATGTATGTGTGGTTTCATAAAATTCTCACGAATGTAAAACTTATGGGTGGTTTCGTAATAGCGAGTAAAAAATATCAACAAAATTACGAATCTTCATATTATGTGTGGTTTCATAAAATTCTCAAAGTCTCATAAAACGGCCCACGATCCTTATTTTTATTGATTTTTTATTATTTAATTGAAACTCCAAACAGTTATTTTAAGCCATTTTACAGCTCTTATTCCAATAAGTGGAAAGAAAGCATAGATGAAGAAGGAGTTTGATGCGTTTGATATGACACGTGGGACCTTGTTGAGTTGCCACTTGATCATAAGACAATTGGCTCCAAGTGGGTATTCACTATTAAGCGTAACAAAGACGGCAGCGTACAACGTTTTAGGTCCCGTTTAGTAGCTAAGGAGTGCAGCCAACTTTTTGGTATCAATTACTACGAAAAGTTCTCGCCTGTAATTAGGTACGCTATTATTCGGATGGTAATCGGATTGGCAGTTGAGCATCGTGGAGCTCCACATACATCTAATGGAGGTATCAACAGCATATCTCAACAATGAGTTACGTGATGAGGTTTATATGAAGCAAGTAGAGTGCTTTGTAGACAACAGTTATCCGGTTAGAATTTTGAAGAAATCCTTGTACGGACTAAAACAAAATGGTCACGAGTGGAAATCAAAGCTAGATGCAGTTCTTCGAGACATTGGTTTTCATGGCCAGGTACGCAATATAATAGCAATATTAGTAGATGATATCATCATTGCCAGTTCGTGTAAGTCCTAACTATTACAAATCAAAGAAAAAATTTCAAAAAGGTTCCGAGTGGCTGATGGTGGTCAACTAACGCATTACTTGGTATGGAGATAGAGCGAGACGCTGAAACAGGCTCTGCAACAATGTGCAGCGATGAAGCAGTATATTTTAAAATTACTTAAATAATACGGTATGTCCGATTGCAGAGATATCGAGATAACACCATTGTATGCGGGTATCATAACTCAATGCAGTAAAGAGACGTGTATGAAAGTATACAAGACAAAGTTTTAATCCATACATGGAGCGTTAATGTACTTGGCAATATCAACATGTCCTGATATATTACATTCCGTATGTAAACTATCACAGCGCAATACGGATCCACATGTAGAACATGAAGCAGCAGTTAAGCGTGTACTCCGTAACATGAAGAAGCAGAGCGTGGCAGCACTTAGCAGCACAGAGGTAGAGTATAATATAAATATATTTCTGCAGCGAAAGAAGCAGCCTACATCAACAAATTGTTAGACGAAATGGGTTCGAAAAAGACCATTTTACCATGCGCGTAGTAAACATATTGATATCAGATACCATTAAAAACCAAAATTCCGATATCAAATTTCAATAAAGACGATTTAAAACCAATAATTTCAAAATCAATCTCCGTATTAGATAAAAATAACTTCCGGTTATCAGAGGCAAATTTAAATATTATTAAAAGATGTTACCAAAAAGTGGCACTAAGAAATTTGTCCTACTGAGAGAGTTTTCACCGACTATAATGCAAATGAAGTAAATATTTTCACTAAAATGTCTATTTTTACAAAAAATCTCTTAAACACATACTCTATTCCAGACCACCAAAAATTTCGCGTGTTTACCTTTTCTTAAATGCATCAATTACAAAAATCTAAATTTCGAAAACACGTAGAGTTGTCGAAAATGCCTTTGGACACCTCAAGGCCCGTTGTAAAGCCTGTTGCGTCCTTCACAACTTTTTAAATGAAAACAACGATTCTTTAAACGCTAAATGGTTACATGCTTTGGAAGAGTTGGAGACTAGACGACAAAATCCGAGTCATGTTTCATATGCGTCTGACGACCCAACTAACGGAGAAACTATACGGGCAGCACTTTGTACATATTTTGGCAAGTAAAAATAATTTTAAGTATAATTTATCAGGCTGAACTCATTTAAGGCGGTAGTAACCATATTCCAAAAATAAAACACATTCCTTTCCTTCTTATTTTTTTAGCAAATCAAGAAGTGTTTTATTTATTTCGTTCGTATCCTTCATAAATTCTTCAATTAATTTTGTTTTTTTATTGTCGTTTTCGAGTAATGTTTCCGTCATTTTTAAAAATTTGTCATTGCTTATATTGAAGTCTTCATTTGTTTTCTTTATTTCTTTTTCAATATTTTCTAATTTTTTTATTATTAAACTTTGAAAATTATTGCTTTTCCCTTTTGCAGAATCTGAGGGCGAAGGAGTGCAAACAGGTGATGGCAGTGGAGATGCAGCAACAAATGTTGAACAAGCAACCGTTTCCACCGAAACTTCCATCGGTTCGGAGTTCGTAGAACCTTTTTAAATATGTATATATATATATGTAAATATAAATAATATATTTAATAAAAAACACATGTCTCTTTCTTTGAAAGCTTTCCTCCACTAAGCCCTCTGTGTTGTAGCTTTTATATGGCGACAGTATTGCGCTCATTTTTTTAAATAAAGGCCACTGCGAGGGGGAACCGCCAGTTGAACCAACTGCTGCTTTCTCCTTCCTATAAAACATAATAATATAAAACGCGTTAATATTTATTATTATTATTTAAATATTTATTTTTACTCAATTTTATTTACCTAAATCTTTGCGACAGATTGTGCATTTTCGTTTTTATTTCTGCCGCCGTGAAGGTGACACCTTGCTGCTGCAGTTCCACTGCCATTTCCTCCAAAATGTGGCTATTTTTTCTTGGCCCTCGAAGCGCACCAACTTTTTCTTCCCATAATTCTATTAGTAGGGCTTCTCCCCTCACACTCCACGAATTGTAATGTAAACAAATTCACAGAATGTAAACAAATGGTCAAGTGACATTTAGGGCTGGCGAAATATGTTTCCAATAATATCGATTAAACTAGAGCAGGCACCGATTATAATGAGTGGAATGTACGTTTTCAAGGGGTTTTCAGCGAAAACTGTGTTTTCGTTTGACAGATTTTGTATGGATGAAAACACAAGTTTTCGCGTGAAAACCTCTTTTGTCGATGAAAACACGAGTTTCGTGTCGGTGCAAACATAGCATAACATTCCATAATTGGCCTAAACGTACCTTACAAGAAACTGCTGATGGGTTCACCAATACACTCACATTTGATATGTCAGTACTGTTAATTTACATTTGCATTTTTAAATTCATAACTATCCACTCATTGGAGAAAGACGTACGCAGAGCTATTGATAGTAGGAGATGGCATCAAGTGAAAATTTATTTTTATATTTTCATATGTTATTATATTTTTTGTTGCATTCCTTTTTATACTCTCGCAACCTGTTGCTACGGAGTATAATAGTTTTGTTCACCTAACGGTTGTTTGTATCACCTAAAACTAATCGAGTTAGATATAGGGTTATATATATATTAGGTCAGGATAAGAGACGAGTTGAATCCGGGTGACTGTCTGTCGCGTCCTTCCGTCGTGCAGCTTAACTAAAAATTAGATATTTCTTTATGAAATTGGTAGACATGTTTCTGGTACCGTAGACGGTTGGTATTGCAGATGGGCGTAATCGGACACTGCCACGCCACAAAGCCATTAATCAAAAAAATAACTTGCCATAACAAGCTCCAATAAGATACAAGACTGTTATTTGGTACACAGGATCACATTAGGGGGCATCTGCAGTTAAAATTTTTTTTTAAAAGTGGCGTGGTCGCCTCCTAATAGGTTTAATGGGCATATCTCTACTGCTAATCTATAATAACAAAATTCACTAGAACAAATGTTTTAGACTTCTATCGTGGTAATTGAAAATCCGGGGCAACTCCGACTCCCCATATAACGGTATTGTTAAAACTACTAACAAGCGGATATAATACAGAGACATTAAATTTTATCTCGGATGGTATGGATGATTTATAGGAACCGCGTTCAAAATTAGTCAGTGGGCGTGGACCACCTTTTAGGTGAAAACCATATCTTGGAGATCTCTTAACGATTTCAACCAAATTCGGTCATAACTTCTTTTTCATTTTTATGTCATAGTGCGAAAATGGCGAAATCGATACTAACCACGTCTATTCCATATACACCATTTTAAATTCCACTGATTCTTTCCTTTCCACTATGTACAGATCAATGAATTGCCACCTTGTGACCACAAATTGTCTAAATCACGTAACCCAGTACTAATATGTGGACCCCAGTGCTATAGTTGACTCTTTACCGAAATATCGGTCAGGTGAAGATATATAATTGTCAATAAATATAAAATAATATAAAGAAACTTCTGCGATAATTGTGTATGATTTTAATGTAAAATGGTGACATCAGTATCAATAGTATTTATTAGACCTCATATACCTAATATATCGATTTTTAATTTTCGAGACTTTGTCTGCTATACTTGTGTACATGAATATGTGAGTTATCCATGAAATGAGATAGCGTGTGTTACTCATAACAAGGTATCTATGGCAAATAGACCTAGCTAAGATCCTAGACAAAATTCGGTTACGCTAGCCCCATGTAAATAAGACAGATTTTTCAATTCGCGTCTGACGTTACCCTATGATTAGTGATGGTGATGTGGGAACTTAATGTTGAATGGAGGATTTAATTATCATGGCTATTAGTAGTCATGGGTGATTGGCAAAATTGCTAAAATCGGACTACTACTACCTTCAACTGTCTATTATTTCATTTTTTGCGACACATTTTAATATGAAGGTCTGAGGCTGAACTGTAAACCAAGAAAATTACATTTTCCAGCGCCTTGGTAGCTATGAAAAGTGTAGATATTAAGACAGAAAGAAGAAAATCTAATAGCTGCTCTACATTGTGTATACCTGGACGTAATTTATATGTAAGTTATTGTTATATTTAGACTTTCATGGGCTGACCTTTTAAAATGGCTACAAGATCCCCCTGTTTTAAAAAGCGTTAGACAAAGAAATTACTTAGGGTTTTCCGAGCACTTATTCATACAATGAAATAATACTAATTTCTAAAATATAAATATAACTAATTTAAGTATTTTATGTTCGTGAATATCTAAGTATATATAGTTACATAAAAAAGGCACGTAGTTGCGTGTACAAAAATATATCATAACAAAACGTTTATACTCTGTAGCAACATATTGCTAGAGTATAATAAATATCAGTACACTGTGTTTGTAGTTTCAGTTACATTAGATTTCTTGACCATCAAAGTGCTTTCTTCAAACTAATTTCAGTGCATTAGTTATAGGTATAGTGTTTAAACTATTATAATATACAGTGGCGAGCAAACACCTATACTTCTACATATGTGCACCAGTATACCATAGTACGTATACACCGAACAGAAAAGGAGTCATAACAAGGACTCAATTACAATGAAAGAGAGCAGCACCTAAGATCCAACCTTTCACAGCCGGACGGACGGAATTATATAAGAATTATATATAAGTATAATATTTTATATATTAAGCCATTTATTATTTATTAAGTAGAAAATTTGTATTACGAAGTTGTCTTCAGAATAGAAGACGTATGAGATAGTGAGCACTCACAAAATACTGTAAGTCACGTTAATCGTAGATTAGATTCCGATGTACGTCTGTCCGAACAAATTATCAATACAAATCAACATATCGAGGTACGATCTTTTGAACAAAAATTAAATACTGTTCAACATAGGGCAAGAAATCTAAACCCCTAAATCCACTCTGAAGAGCAAAGCAGAAATACTCGGGGACACAGATTTCGGCGCGAAAATCCCGAGGTACGATATGTTGAGAAAGTTGTAAATTCTATTCAAGATAGAACAAGGCGGCAAGGTCCACAAATTCGCTCTGAAGAGCACATAAGAACTACTCGAAGTCATAGATTTCGTCGAGAAAATCCCGACTTACGATATGTTGAGCAAGTTGTAAATAGTGTTCAACATAGAATCAAGGGCAGAGCAATCTACTAATATTGCAATCATCGCTACAATGAGCAAGAATAAGACAAAAATAAGAAACTCGAGGTCATAGATCTCGTCGAGAAAATTCCGAGGTTATGATGGGCAAAGTAGGAACACTAGGGATCATAGAGAACTTCGCGCAAGAAATCTTGAGTATAGGAATTCAGCGCGCATTCGTGATCAAATGCGAAGAGAACATGAAAGAAGAAATAAATAAGGAGAGAAGAGCGTGATAAAGAAACACAACGTCGACAGCTTAGTAGAAGGGGTATGAGGGAAGAAATTTGGAATCAGAGACGTCTTAGAAAGGTCAAGTTCGCCTCGTAGAGATAACACTCATAGCGAATTGAACCAACGGCAGTCCCAACGAATCCGATTAATGAGAGAAAATAATGTTTTAGAAACTGATAATAGTGGCAATTTAATTTAATTTAATTAAGATTTCAAAAACATTTATTTCCAAAATATAAATAAGGCCCTACTGAAATAGTATTTGTTGCCTGCGGATTATGGTTTTCACACCAAGTTCGCAAATTAAATTTCGAAATTATTGCGCAAGATTCCCCGAATGCTGCATCCGCCTTCTTTTTAATGCAAAAATTTATTTCAGAAGATGGAAATTACAATTTTGTGCTACTTGCAAAATTCGATTGTTAAAAGAACGTTCCAAAAATATGTAGCTAACCGCTAGACTTTCCTGAATACCGGATTGTTTGAAGAGTTTAACCCAATTAAAGAACGTCTCATAATGCTAGATTCCTTTAGACAATCCGTCCGTTAGATATCAAGGTCAGATTTGCTCAAAGGTGCGTTGTCAATATACCAATTTCTGTTAACATTATTCATCTCTACCAAGGTCCTTTGATGAGGCTCATGTTATACAAATTCACTTAAGAAGGCGTTTGAAATACAATCTTGATTACATGATCGATACCATACGCCTCGCAAAGATTATTGAAGCTTTGCAGTTATTAGTAAATACTCGTCTGTATCGTGAGCACAATATACATATCAATGAAAACTGGATTTCAGAATTTATAAACCAAGAAAAAGTTCCGTTTGTTGCATCTGCAGAGAATTCCCGATTGGTTGAATCTTTTCATGCGGAACAAATCCCTCATGAAAATCGCTCAGTTAATAATATTCCCACGGGCCTTTTACCTTCAGACCTAAATCCAGGCGGTCAAGAAACTCTTTTGGACAATATTCCTGTAGAAAACTTAGACTATAACAGTTTAGTTATAGCGCCAGGTGAAGGACAGAGACCAATTGACATAATTCAAGATAATAGTTCAGAAGAGTTGTCATTTGGAACAATATACGTTGGGTAGAAACGTAAATGCTTTGAAACATGTAGCAAGCTAATACGTTCTAAAGTTCGCCGTTTTAACAGAAGAGCGTGTACCATTCCAAAGTTGTTCTATGATTACAAAAAATTAGAACTGCTTCAAATTAAGAATAGTTCATCATTGCTTAGAAAGTTTCAGGCCGCAACCGAGTTACGGCCAAAATCTATAAACGAAAACTTTGTTCAAAACTTGATTCAACACGATGATGGTTACAAGGTTTTGAAAGGCGTTTCCTCACCTGCGCACTGGGAAGCTGAGCAGAAAAAGGCAAACCGTCTTTATCACTTTATCGGCTGAAGGATCTTAATGGGTTGAGCTTTTTGTCATCCTCTCGAAAACTGTTGATTCTAAAGATATTTCAGAAGAGGAAGCCAACAGTTTATGAACCGAAGATAGATATCACTTAATTCGGTCAGATGCGCTTACTTGTGCTAGATATTTTGACAACCGCTATCGACAAATTCTTAAATTTTTTGAAGAGAATGCCGACATTTTTTGAGAGCATTTTGTCAGAAATTTCTACTGGAGAGTGGAGTTCCAACAGAGAGGTTCCCCGCATCTACATGGCATGTATTGGATTAATATTGCTCTCAAGATCAACCTTCAGGATCCTCAGACATTCAATGATATCATTAGTTTTATTAACAATTATATTTCTACAGATGGTTCGGTCAGCCACTTAGAAAATTATTTGGGTTATCAAAAGCATAACCACAGTCGGTCTTGTACCAGAGAAATAATAGGACAGCAGTTTTGTCGTTTTGGTTTACCATATCCACCAATGCATTCAACGCAAATACTGTTACCTCTTACAGAAACAAGTCAAAATATCGGAAAGACACAAGAAAAACTTTTTCAAAATTCAAAACGTTTTAAATTATTCAAATATGACCACAGAAGACTTTTCTAATTTAAACGATTTTGAACATTTCCTGTCTGATAGTAGAATTAATATGTCTTTTGATGACTATTTGTTAGCCCTTAGGTCAAATATATTATAACAAAACCCAAAAATTACAGGATCGTTTTATAAACGCTTATAATCCTCTGATTTTAAAACTCCATAGGACAAATATGGATATCCAATAAATACTGGATGCATATGATTGCTGTTCATATCTAATTAATTATATTAACAAGTCTAACAGGGGAATTTCTAGGCTCTTAAATGAAGCTATATCATATACTGGATGCATATGATTGCTGTTCATATCTAATTAATTATATTAACAAGTCTAACAGGGGAATTTCTAGGCTCTTAAATGAAGCTATATCAGAGGTTAATGCTGGAAATTATACTGTTAAGCAAAAACGTAAACATATAGGTCACAAATTTATATCAGGCACAGAAATATCTGCACAAGAAGCAGTATATTGCTGCATTGGGCTCCATCTTTCGGAATCAAGTAATGCAGAAATATTTATAAATACCTCTTGACCTGAGGAACGTGTTCGAATGGTAAACCCTAGAGCGGAACTTCAGAACCTTCCATCAGGTTCGACTGATATATTCGTAGCCGGTATTTTAGACTGTTATGTTCAAAGATGCGATCATTTAGAAACTCTTTGTTTAGCTAATTTTGCATCTAGGTATAAATATTTTAAATTTAGTAGAAGATCACAAGACAATGATCATGAAGAAGAAGAGAGGGAAGACGATAATTTATCAGAAAGCGGGGTTGTCATGCCTCTTAAAGATGGTAGCGGTTTTGTTGAAAAACGTACCATACCTTATATAATTCGGTATAGAAGGTTTAACCCAGTTTTGACCAGAGTTGACCAGAGTTGAGTATTTCCGCGAAATGGTAATGCTTTACTGTCCTTGGCGGAATCAACAACAAGATCTCATTGAAAACGATAATGAGTAGACTTGCATAACACATGATATTCTAATTGAGGAAAATAAAAGAAAATATGATGAAAATGAGTTCAGAGTGTTGGCACCTCCAGAGATAAACCCAAATATAAATTTGCTGGACTTGCATGGTGAAGATTCAACATATAATGGCACTGAATCTGATTGCAATATTAGACTTATTAAACTACCCCCTTTAATTCCAGTTGCTAAGCCCACCACTTACTTGCCACTTGACGCCAAAGGAAAGCTCGATGTTTGCTGATCGGCAGTCGCTGAGAGAAGAGGCTGTCCGCTTCGAGGACAGATGTTTTGTTCGGTGTGTTGTGTAGAGATCCTTGTGTGGTGTGTGTGCCAGTGTTGTCTTGTGTGTGGTGTGCCTGAGTTCTTCGGGGCGGGAATTGTAACTCATTTGGCCATCCCGGCCCCCCTAGGCGAATGTTCAGCCTAGCAGTCGCTGTAGCTGTTGCAACGTTGCCACAACGTTGCTGACTCCGGACGTGCGGCGATAGTTCGGCCTACGCCTAGTCGGTGCTACGTTGTGCTGACGCCATGGACGGGACTCCGATCGGGGTGCCGCTCTTTGGCGACGTGCCACACGATTGGCTTGCTGCGGTCGGTTTGCACCGCGGATCCGTGGGGCAGGCTGCCAACTGACCTCTCGCCTCGGAGTACGGTGAAGCAACGTGTGATGCTGCCTGCCACACATTTGGCACAAAGCACCGGAGTCGCATTCCTGCGTCGTGTGTGTATGTGCCAGACAATTGTTGCAATGCCCATGCGCCTGGGCAACCTGCTAGCGTTGTGTCGGCGACATGCCCTTGAAGAGCCCACAGTGCTGCAACTGGGGGGCAACAAAGGGGGCATCGGATGCGATGGGGCGCCTCAGGTGGAGACGGAACGGCTGCGGATGCTCGAATACTATTACGAGCGGTGCTTGACGGTGCGGTTGCGGCTGGTGTTCGGGGCGCCGCGGTTGGCATAATCCCAAGGCGAGGCACAGTGATGGCCGATCGCATTGTTGGCGTTGGGGTGGAATGCATTTCAGTATCCATATCTATCTGTATGGAGAAAAAGGCGTGATTAGTTACGATTCAGTGGTATAGAGTATGGATATCTTTCTATATGTGACCAACTTTATTTGGTTTGGTGATCGTATTAGTCTACCCATTATTTTGTTAGTATATATGATTGTAATATGTCATATTATATTTGCGGTTTTTTATTTCTGTTTTCGATTATTTAGACGGATATTTCGATTTTTTCTTGTAGGTATTATTAAACGGATGGTTTACTACATGCGTTTTCGCTATTAGCATAGTAGGCAGGAAGCATAGTTTAACGAGCGGCCTGGTTAGCGTTCCGTTTCGAGTACGGAGGTCAACTACTCGTATATAACCGTCGGAATCATGATGTAGCTTCTCTATGCAACCAAGTCGCCATTCTGTAAAGGGAAGACAATCGTCATTAATTAAGACAAAATCTCCAAGCTTTGGCGCCTTTTCGGGAGTTTTTCAGCGGTACCTTTTATGAAGGTCCTTTATATACTCCTCCTTCCATCGGCGGCTGAAATCATGATGGAGAATTTTAATTCTTTCCCATCTATTTTGTAAGGATAGCGACTCCACGCCTGGCTCAGGTATGGCCAGAATGGGTGCTCCTTTTAGAAAGTGCCCTGGAGTTAGGGCTGTGAGATCTGAGGGATCTTGCGAGAGTGTCGTTAGTGGCCGTGAATTGAGAACGGCTTCAATTCGAATTAATAAGGTCGAGAATTCTTCATAATTAAACTTGTAGTTTCCAGCTACTTTTTTGAAGTGGGATTTGAAGCTTTTTACAGCTGATTCCCATAAACCACCCATATGAGGAGCGCTTGGGGGGATAAACTGCAAATTAATAACTTGAGGTGCGTACTTCTGTACAATCTCAGGTGAGACTTGTTTGATAAAGTCCACAAACTGTTTCTCAGTGGCTCTTTTGACTCCAATAAACGTTTTGCCGTTGTCACTTATTATTTTTGAAGGAAAACCACGCCGTCCGACGAAGCGAGCGAATGCCGCGAGAAAAGCCTCTGTCGTCAGATTTGTACATAGCTCAAGGTGAACAGCTTTTGTCGTAAAACAAACAAAAACTGCCACATAGCCTTTCATTAAAGTATTGATGCCTTTATCTGGAAAGGCCCAGCAAAATCGACACCTGTTGTTGTGAAGGGCAGAGCAAAGTTGCAGCGGTCAGGTGGAAGTGCTGCCATTATCTGCGTTCGCATTTTTTGCTTGTACGTTGTGCAAATTTTGCACATGTAAATGCACTTCTTTTTTTGAGGCTTAAGACGGGGAATATAAAACTCTTGGCGGACTATTTGTTGCATGAGGCGGTGCTAGGCGTGTAGCATCAGTATGTGGACATAATGCAGATATAATGTGACAAGCCGTGCTTTTTCTGGTATGATTATGGGATGTCGTTCGTTGTATGTCAGGCTGGAGTTGACAAGCCGACCATTCGCACGAAGCAAACCCTTTGTGCCAGAAATGGATTTAGTACTAAAATTGAGCTCTTTTTATCGATTGGCTTCGAATCTTTTAGCAATGATATTTCTCGGCTGAAGTAGCGCGTTTGAGTAGATGCGATAAGAGCGCCTTTTGCTTTTTGTAAGTGTAGGTGCGTTAATGTATCGCATTGGGGGTATATTGGAGGTGTTCCGTTAACTTTAGTTTTGAGCTGCTCTATAAATTTGATCATGTAGGCAACTACTCTCAGGGCTCGGGGGAACGATGAGAATCGCTCAAGGATGTCAGTATCATCCGATGTTGCATGAAAGGAGTCGATTTTTCGATTTTCTGGGGCAATTATATTGCGCATGGGCGATTGTGGCCAAGAATCAGGAAATTCTGTTAACCATCGGGGGCCATTCCACCAGAGGGTGGTGGTGACAAGGTGCAGGGGTTTGCACCCTCTTGTACCTAGATCAGCAGGATTGTCAGCACTGGCTACATGTCGCCAAGTGGCTGATCCTACTAAGTCAAGTATTTGAGACGTTCGGTTGGAAATATACGTCTTCCATGCATGTGGTGGTCACCAGGCTAGTACAATTTCGGAATCGGACCATAGATATAATTTATATTGTGCCATGTTTAAATGTGTTTGTACAATGGACACGAGTTTGGCTAGTAGTAGCGCTCCACATAATTCAAGTCGTGGTAGACTTATTGTTTTTAAAGGAGCCACTTTTGCTTTTGCTACTAGTAAGTGGCATGTAGTCGCATTGTCGCTTTGTGTGCGAACATATATAGTTGCGCAATATGCCTTTTCAGAAGCGTCACAGAAGCCGTGTAGTTCGACTTTATCATTTAGATTGCTCGCAAACTGGGACCACTTTTCTAAACGAAGTGGTTTTACTTGTTCGTCCCAGTCGGTTTCATCTAACCATAATTCTTGTATTAGGATTTTGGCTTGTATCATAATTTGCGAAAGCCATCCTGCGGGGTCGAAAAGTTTTGCCACAGAGGATAAGATTTGCCGCTTTGTTATGGCAGATAATGCAGATGATGACTCTGTAGTGTATGAAAACTGGTCAGATATCGCATTCCATTGGATTCCCAGAGTTTTTGTTGTACTTTCCTTTTCGAATTTAAGGAAATTAGTATCTAACAAATTTTCATGTGGTATATATTTTAGAATATTAGGGTGGTTCGCCGTTATCTTTTTCAACGGAAACCCTGTGGTATTTAGGGCTTGTATCACTTGTGATAGTGACTCGTATGCTTGTGGAAGACTGTGACTTCCAGACAAGATATCGTCTACACACGTTTGTGTTTTTAACACCTGAGTTGCCAGCGGAAATTCTGACTTGGTGTTTTCTGCCAATTCGTGCAGTGTTCGGATGGCTAGATATAGTCGCGGAGTGGACTATTGAGAGATTTTCGGAAAATAATTCGCTGAAAATCTTGATCGTCTTTATGTACGACTATTTGTCTATACATTTTTTCGACGTCTCCGTTAAATACGTATTTGAATATACGCCAATTTAATATGAGGAGCATTAAATATGGTTGGAGCGTGGGTCCCGTAAATAGAATGTCATTTAGCGAATTCCCCGAGCTGGTGGATCTTGATGCATTAAAGACAACTCTTACTTTAGTTGTTTTTTTGTCTGGTTTTACTACTGCATGGTGCGGCAAGTAAAATGAGTAGTATTTGCCGTTGATGATTTTTTCGCATGGGCTTATTTCCTCCATGTGGTCTAAATGGAGGTATTCTTCCAACTCGCTATATACTGGTTTGAGTTTGCCTTTTTTAAGTAGGTTTTTTTCCATAATTTGAAACTGCTGTATTTCAGAGGTGCGAGAGTGACCTAAGGCGAATGTGTTGGGAAATTGTTGTTTTAGTGGTAGTCGTACGACATACCGACCATTATCTAATCTAGTAGTTGTGGCTTTGTAAAAGTCTTCACAATACTGATCTTCTGGAGTTGTAATTGATATGGGGGGGGGAGTTCTTCTAACTCCCAAAAATTTTTCAATTGTGAATTGAGGTATTCGTTTGAGATTTCCTCAACCTGAGTGGTCATGGTGGTAACTGGTTCCGAAACTAGTCCACTTAGGATCCACCCAAAAATAGTATTTTGTGCCAGAAGTGTATTTGAAATTTTCTCAATACCTTCGAGTATTATCTGTGGTATGAGATCGCTGCCTAATAAAAGGTCTATTTGAGCGGGAGTGTTGCAGTTGGGATCTGCTAGCTTTAGGTGTGAAACCTTTTGCCAATGCTTGCTATTTATGTGATAGCTTGGAAGCATATTTGTAAGTTGCGGTAAGACTATAGCTTCTGATTGTATGTGCTTATCCGCTTGGGGGGAAATTAGGGTAATGGGGCAGATTTTATTTGAATTTTGGACAACTCTTCCGCCTATTCCCGTGATTTCAAAATTGGCTAGTTTTGTTGGCAGTTGTAGCCTATTTTGAGCCCTAGACGCTATGAAAGATCGTTGTGATCCTTGGTCTATTAAGGCTCTAAGTTTAAACAGCTCTCCGCGGTGTTCGATGGACACGACTGCTGTGGGTAGTAGTACTCTACTTTGATTTTCGCTGTGTAGCGTTTGGGTTTTTATTGCCTTTGAGCAGCATGGTGCATTTAGCACTTCGGGATTTGCTGTTGCAACTAAACCCGTGGCTCTTTTCATATTTGCGCTGTTTGGGGGTGATCTGGAAAAATTGTTATAATGAAGCATAGAGTGATGTCGTTTATGACAATAAACGCAATTAAATTTGCTTTCGCACTCTTTAAGTGTATGCGCATGTGACAAGCAGTTTGTACAAAGTCTTTTTGTTTTTACAAAATTGTTTCGGTCGATAATACTCCATTTTTTGAATCTCTCGCAAGATTTGAGCTTATGCCCTCCTGTACATAGTTCGCATGACGTTTGTTTGTACTGTTCGGATGTGAACGTTTGATTTTTGAAGAAGCTTCTATTTAAATTGTTGTTGCTACTGGCTTGGGGTCTGTGGAAGCTTCTATTTAGGTCATGTTGAACGGGTTTCGTTCTGACCATTTTTTTATCTACCCTTTCTGCGATTTCATATTGGGTAGTTAGGAAATCTTTCATTTGTTGCCACGTGGGGCATTTTCTTCGTGATGAGAGCGATTGCTCCCACAAAAGTAACGATTTTTCTGGTAAAGCGGCGGTGCATATATTTACCAGTATTGGGTCCCAGCTGTCTGTGGGAATATTTTGTGTCGATAGAACCGACAAGCAATTAGAAACAGTGGATTGCAGTTTTATAAACTCTTCACTTGTTTCCTTTTGAATCTTAGGCAAGTTCATTAGTATCGTTACTTGCATATCGACCAATATTCTCTCATTTTCATATCTAGATTTAAGAGCTTCCCAAGCCAAATTGAAATTATCGTACTGTTTTACTATTACGCCTGCTTGACCTTTTGTTTTGTATCGGAGGTGATACAATTTTTGTGCATTTGATAATTTTGGGTGGTTCATGTAAACGGCTGTAAACATGTCCCGGAAGGACGGCCATTGTTCATAACCACCATGAAATATTTCTGTGTCACATGCGGGCACCTTGAGATGGATGCCTGAACTTGCCTCTTAACTTTGTACTTGTGGCAGCTCTACTCGCTGATGTGGAGTAGGTGCAATTGCTTTTATTAGCTTCAGCTGATCGGAAATCATTGCTTTAGTGTCTTCGAACTGGTCTAAGCAGTTTTCATATTTGGCGTAAGCCGAGGACTTAAAATTTTCTGGTAGATCTGATTCGTCAGATTCTACTATGGCGTCATATGAAGCTTGTAGACGTATCCAAAAATTGTCGAGATTTTCTTTTTTGATTCCTAATGCCGATTCAGAATTATCTTGAATCGGAGCAGATGAAAATCGAGTGCAGTATCTTATCAAACTGTCACTCTCAGCAATGAATTTACTGTATGTAATGTCTTTCCCCCTTTTTTGTTTTGTAGCACCTTGCTTTGAGCGTGTAGCTTCTGCAGGTGTACATGGACTTTTTTCGTCCGAAATCATTTTTGGTACTCTTAATAATTGTGTAGATTTAGAATCTTTCGAATCTGCGTTCATTAAAAAAAAAAACAAAATTCAAATAATCAAATGATTTCTCTCAGTGTAAACTGATTAAATTTAAGCGAAATTCGTAATTTTAACGCGTAATCTCTTTTATCTAAATAAGAGAATTAGTAAATCGGTTTATTTTTATTATTATTATTTTTTTTAAATCGGATTAAATAAGATAGCGTGTTTCGTTGTTACGGTATTTTTTTTTATTTATCTCGATTATATTGTTTATTTCAACAATTATTCAAATTGCAATATCTATTTTTATATCTTTATTGTGTTGGTATGCGTTATAGGGTATACCTATAAGTGAATTAGTATATGTCAATGAGAGCTCGAATAAGAGATCAATGTACTTTTTACATATATATGCAATCCTACTTGTTTTTTGTTTGCCAAACAACAAGGGATATTGCCGAGTATGTGCCAAATTGGACTTTGGAATATATTGAATTAAATTGTATAGAAGCAATGTATGTAATATTGTTCACAATTTTTATTATTGTTATTAATTTATTTATAGAAATATAAATACTTATTTTAATTTTTTTTTTTGTTAAGAATTCGTTTTGTGAAGTTCTTTAACTTGTAGTGGTACCCTAGTAGGGTATAATAATATGTCCCGTACTTGTATAAGTACGTATGTAAACGAGCGGACGTTGTTTCTCAGTTACGAAAGAGCGCATAAACGTAATTAGCAACAAAGTAATCGTATGTACACTACGATTCGTAAATATGCACTCTCGGTATTGGATGTAAATATGTACGTATGTATAAGAGTAAAATAATGTGCGTATATTTTATATGTTTAAAAATTTTGTATTTTCTTTACCTTTCTCTCTCTTCTCCCTTTTTTTTTGTAGGTAAAATATGTTAATAATATTGCATGCGCTCAAAATTATAAGTTGCTAAAAATTTTGTTATATATTGTGCAAAATATGTAAATATGTATGTAATGAGAGTCTTGAGTCTTTTTTTGAGAATATTCTTCTTATATCTCTTTTTATTCGTTATATGTTGCTATGTGGGTATATGTATATGTGTGTTTCTTTTTTTTTTTTTTGATCTGCCTTAGCTTACTTGTTTTAGGCAATCCTGCATATTACTTGATCAAGCATCAGGGGTATTGCCGGATATTTTTGCAAGTAGAGTACTTGAATTTCATATATATGCATATCATATGTTTGTGTTTTGGATTTAGAATATTTGTGTTAAACACGAAGGTAAGCTTTCCTAGGCAAAAAAAATATATATATATATTTAGATATATATATTATATATAAATTATATACATATATATAATATTGTATATATATATATATATATATAATATATATATGTATATTATGTGTCTAAATTTTTTCGGTAAAACCCGAAATACCGCAAATAAAACAGTTTAGTAACCGTTTTTGAAAACCGTAATAAATATACATATACCCTTCAGTAATGAGGTACAAAACGGAATCGATACAACTCACTTGAATATCCGTCAAGGGATTTTGGGGACTATAGCCTGTATTTCGTATGTGGATGCCTGTAGGTGTATCCAATCCTTTCCTGGGATGTGGGACCTTGAGGTTTTTGATTGGTTTTTGTTGTATTATTTTCGCGACCGTTTTATGTTAATATGTATATACATATATATGGGTTTTGATTCGCGCCCGTTTTCAGTTGATTGTGTTTTGCTTTTCCGCGCCCGTTTTGTTTTTTTTTTGTTCACTGCACTGTTAATTATGCCACAAAAAGCATATGTATATATATATATATTTTTTTCCTTGTTGTTGTGGCCACTGCACTGTTTTATGCACCAAAGCATATGTATATATACATACATATATATATTTTTCTTTATTTTTCTGGTCACTGCACTTTTTTTTTTGTCTTCTGCCTTTTTTTTTTTTGCCAGTACGCTTTGTTGACTTCTCCGTTTATATATACATATATATTAATTCTTTTTTTTTTATTTTTTATTCACAATAGTGCCATTCTGAATGGCTCGAAGGACCAATGCTACCTTACCACTTACTTGCCACTTTATACTTCCGCGTGTGCAAATTAGAGTAAAATTGAATGTTTTTCCGTTTCGAAAATGTTTATTTGAATATGAAATTATAAAAAAGGTTATCTTGACGCACTCACTCCCTGGTCGCATACCAGTGGAGAGGTAATAAAATAATATAAACTTATTGACGATAAAACGCGCCAAAGGAAAGCTCGATGTTTGCTGATCGGCAGTCGCTGAGAGAAGAGGCTGTCCGCTTCGAGGACAGATGTTTTGTTCGGTGTGTTGTGTAGAGATCCTTGTGTGGTGTGTGGGTGTTGTGTGTGGTGTGTGTGCCAGTGTTGTCTTGTGTGTCTGAGTTCTTCGGGGCGGGAATTGTAACTCATTTGGCCACCAGTTGAGGAATTTTTTTCTTTAGTTCAAAGTCTAAATACTAAGCAAAGAACCTATTTGACACATTTGATGCACCAGCTAAAAACAAATCGCCCATTTTATGAGTTCATTGGCGTCGGTGCAGGTGTAGGTAAGAGTCGTTTCATATCCGCAATATATCAAGTTCTTCACCATCGTTAAAATTCTACAATTCTCTACTTGGATTCAATCCAAGTTCCTTAAAAGTTCTTCTTTGCGCACTTACGGGTAAAGCTGCGTTCAGAATAGGTGGAATAACCCTTCATTCAATATTCTCTTTACCTGTTAATCAGTTGAATAGAGAGTTGATGCCACTTAGCAATGACACAGTGAATTCATTGTATTCCAGACATCGATTTAAAATTAATCATAATTGATGAAATATCGATGGTAGGTGCTCGTATGTTTAGCTCTGTTGATGCGATATTAAAACAAATTTTCAAAACGGTGGTATACCGATCATAGTGTTTGGTGATTTGAAGCAACTCTCACCTGTTGGAGGTAGGTGGATATTCTCTCCTAATCCCAATGATTCATACATCATTTTATTTGGTTCCCCTTTGTGGGATTTATTTAAATACTTTGAATTAACAGAGATAATGAGACAACGGGAGGATCAGGCCTTTGCAATTGCATTAAATCATATGGCATCTGGTACTATGACAAATGAGGACATATCACTCATTGAAACACGAGTAGTTAATTTCGAAGAAGTTCCCGATGATGCCATACATTTATTTTGGTCCAATGAAGAGACAAATCGGCAGCTGGACAACTTATGCAAATTGATTTTCATTGATCTTTTCCAACAATTCTGTGGATTAAATTTTTGGAACGTTATGATGGTTTGATAGCACGATCAAAAAAGCCTCATCCTTTAGAAAGTTCTTGGACACCAATTGAAAAAGTTCTAAAATCTTTTCAATATAAAAGAAATGAACAAATTTCAATTGAAAGATATTAGTTCTTCCGGCTGAGGGAATAACTATTCATAAGGTCCAGGGTGCCACATATAATAAAGTTGTAGTTCATACTCGACCTGGAATGCCTAGAGCTTCAATATATGTCGCTTGTAGTCGAGCTACTACTGCAGAAGGTCTATTCATCATAGGAAATTTTATTCCTCCTAACAAATTTCCTGAATCGGATCCTGTATTTAGGGAACTAAGGGAATTGAACACAAATAAAGCTCTGACAACAAGTTTCCATTTTATGATTTCCCGAACATCAGGACATCAAATTTTATTCCATGTTGTTCAGAGTCTTCACGCTCACAAGCGACTGTTTGATGCTATCTTCAGATATTTTATGTGCTGTAGAAACTAGGACTTATCCTTGCTAAGGTTTTGATATACCAGGATTTACTCCAATTAACGAGCTGAGGATAGATAGCACGGAAACAAGCAACAGAAATAAACGGGGCATTATAATATAATAAATATTTGCAAAGCATTATATTGCTAGCTCTATAGAACTAAAGGCTGTGAAGAAAATTTATTCAGGCCGCAAAGTTTTAAAAGCAGTTCCCTGCTTGGTGTAAAATATTCAACTACACCTGCCGTTACACAAATTGATTGGGCATTTTTAAACATGGATCCTTCCCATGTTAATGCAATTACTTTTGAGACAGTGCACAGCAATCATGACAGTATTTGTGTCTCTATTTCGAACTAAAATTTTCAGACTTAGTGCAATAGTTCTCAGTTTTTTTCCAAATATATTCGAATTAGAATGGTATAGCAATTTTGACGGTAGTTTCTAAGACAATTTTAAGAAAAATTTGTAAATAATCTAATTAAGAAATTTTAAATTATATGTATAATTTGTATAATTATATAAGACATTATTGTATAAATATATGATAGAAATTAATAAATTAAATAATAGAAAAGAAATTTAATTTGGTTATATGTACTTTAATGTATAAGAGTTTCTATAAAAATGTTAGGTCTTAAATGTTAATTATGTTTAATATTGTAAATATTATATAAAATTAATATCAAAATATAATTTTTAAAGTTGTTATTATTTATTATTATACTCATACTCCTCAATACAGTTGTAATGCATTTAAAAAAAAGCAATTATAAGCGAATACAAAAAATACAAGAACGATTTCGCATAATTTTAGTAAACTTAGTTTACAAATTGATCTAATTAATTTCACCGTGAATGTAAATAACTGAGGCAACAGTTCCTACTTTTAATTATTAAAATATATAAAGAAATCTCAAACTATTATACCATACCATACCAACTTTGCGAGAGTATAAAATGTTCGGTTACATCCGAAATTAGCGCTTCCTTACTTGTTTAAGATAAAGTTTTGCCAATACCTGAAAAAATTTCTCTCTTTTAACCCTTTGAATTTTAGGAGTTTAAAGAACGTTTGCGTTGTCATTTCATGACATTAAGTTTGTTAGTGTAAGTATTTTGTATCTCACCGTTTGCATCGAACATGTGGCAAATAGTACGTACTTGTACAAGTATTATAGTTTTGTTCACTTAATGGTTGTTTGTAACAAATAACAGAAAGCTAGGTAATATACGATTTTTTATATACTATAATCAGAGGCTATACAAGAATGAAAAGGTGTATTTTCGACATCGAACATTTGTAAAATTTCAAAAATTCCTTCGTTATTCCCCCCTTGAAATTTTAACATTATTTTGATTTTTAGCAGAAGGGAATCTGTAAAAGTTAAGCCATTTGTGTTGTTAACATTCTTAACCAGGTAATTTTGCTGTGGAAACCAGAGAATGAATAATATGTTATGTGAATTTTAAATTTTAATTGTACGTATATATTTGGGTGCTTTGTTTTTGAACTATTTTTTTTTCGATACCATGGTGAAATTTTGTTAAAAATACCAAAAAAAAAAAAATTCCCTGAAAGTTTGAGTTCTTAATACAATATAATATTATTATTAAGTACTAGACCAAGGCCTGTAAAGATTTTCGATCTAAAATACACGTAAAACTTGTTTTTTTTTCTTTTTAGTTTTATAATGGTGCGTTCAAAGGAAAAGATAAATCGATATTTAATTTATGTTATAATCGGACACACATGTTTCTATAGAAGCCAATTTCGATTAGTAGGCAACAGAAAAGGTTGGTCACATTTTTGTGTGCTCTTCGATTTTAGACTTTTGAATAAAGGCACTTGAAATGTTTACTATGGCATTCGGTGAGTCCACTTTGTCTCAAAAAAGTGTTTGTAAGTGGTACAAGCGCTTTATAGAAGGCCGAGAAGATGTTGATGACGTTGAGCATCCTGGAGGTGCTACCACATCAGCAAACGAAGAAAACGTCGAAACAGTGAAAAAATTGTTCTTGAAAATCGTCGAATAACTATTAGGGAAGTTGCAGAGGATCTTAGCATATCAATAAGACAATTTTCATCATATTTTACTTTTTTATTTGTGCTGTTAATGGCGACGAAGCCATAAAAGAACGGCAGTGTCAAATTGGTTTGCCAAATTTCGTTCTGGTAATTTTTTACTCAGAGATGAAAAACACTCTGGTCGTCCATTGGAAGTTGATGACGACCTAATCAAAGCAATAATCTATTCGGATCGTCACAGTACAACACATGAGATTGCAGAGAAGCTTCAGGTATCACATACATGCATTGAAAATCACTTAAAACAAATTGGCTATGTTCAAAAACTCGATAAATGGGTTCCTCACGAGCTGAAAGAAACGTATTTAATGCAACGCATTAACAGCGACTTTTAAAACGATTGATAACTGGCGATGAAAAATGGGTTGTTTACAACAATATCGAGCGGAAAAGATCGTGGAGCAGGCCAGGTGAACCAGCTTTAACAACATCAACAGCTGGTATTCATCAAGTGAAGGTTTTGTTATCAGTTTGGTGGGATTATAAAGGAATTGTCTACTTTGAACTCTTACCACCCAACCAAACGATCAATTCTGTTGTCTACATTGAACAACTAACGAAATTAAACAATGCAGTTGAAGAAAAGCGGCCCGAATTGATAAATCGAAAAGGTGTTGTATTCCATTATGATAATGCAAGGCCACACACATCTTTGGTCACTCGGCAAAAATTATTGGAGCTTGGTTGGGATGTTTTGCCACATCCACCATATATTCCTGACATCGCACCATCGGATTACTTTTTGTTTCGATCTTTACAAAACTCCTTGAATGGTAAAAATTTCAATAATAATGATGATGTCAAATCGTGCCTGATTCAGTTTTTTGCTAATAAAAACCAGAAGTTTTATGAACGTGGAATTATGATGCTGCTTGAAAGATGGCAAAAGGTCATTGATCAAAATCGGCAATACATTACAGAATAAAGTTATTTAGTTCCATGAAAAAATTGTCTTTGTTTTTAAAAAAAAAATTACTTAGTTGCCAACCCAGTCTATTAACTTTGTATGTAGGTTATAATCTATACTAATATTATAAATGCGAAAGTCCGTTTGTTTGTTAAGCTTTCACGCAAAAACTACTAAACAGATCATCATGAAATTTTGTACATATACTCTTAGAGGTGTCAGAATGAACATAGGATACTTTTTATTACAAAATTTATAAATTTTTTACGGATTATTAAAAAAATTATTTTGGAAGATTATATATGTTTGGAAAATAAATTTGAAAATTTTGAAATTGAAAAAAAAAAGTTTGGCAGAAATGATTATTTGTCGAAAAAATTAAAAATGAAAGAAAACATAAATGTATAAAAAACGTAAATCAGAGAAATAACACAAATATTATTAGTTACTTTTATTAAATATAAAAATGCCTCGAAAGCGGAAATTGGCGCTGTCAAGAAATTCTACGCCGGTGCGTAAGGCTAAAGTTACACGAAATAAAGAATGTGAAGTTCAAGCAGAGCTGAGAAGGTTACAGCAAGCAGATCGACAACGTGTTTTGAGAGCAGCTGAAACTTCTCATCAGGCACGAGTACGTTCGAAAAGACAAGCTAAGCAGCAGGAAGAAACGGAAACGCAAGAACAATTACAGGCAAGAAGAATTAATGATGCAGAAGTAAGAACCACGCGTCGTCGTAATTTCATAACTAAGAATTCGTCTGTATTTAATGGTACTGGTTTTCAATATGATCCTTTAGTTGAGTATTATAATCATCCCTTAATTGTTATTGGCTCAATGGAAAAAAAATGTCAGTATTGTGATGCTTTTAAATGGAAAGATGAAAATGCTGGAATGTGCTGCAGCACTGGTAAAGTTTCACTTCCATTACTTGGTGAACCAGAAGAACCGTTAAAAACTTTATTGTTTAGTGTCACAGATGAGTCAAACGATTTCTAAATAAAATAAGGAAGTATAATTCTTGCTTTAAAATGACATCCTTCGGAGTTGATAAAGTGATAAGAATGCCAGGATTTTCACCAACCTTTACTGTACAAGGGCAAATATATCATCAAATTGGATCACTATTTCCAGGAAATAATGATCAGCATAAATTTTTGCAGGTGTATTTTATGGGTGATGAGCAAAATGAAGTAAATCTCTAAGAGTATATGTACAAAATTTCATGATGATCTGTTTAGTAGTTTTTGCGTGAAAGCTTAACAAACAAACGGACTTTCGCATTTATAATATAAGTATTTACTAAGTTTTTCAAGTAAGTACTCCAAGCCAAGCAATAAAATTTATTATTTCTATTGATCCGTTTCTACTATAATGATATCTGATACTTATTTGTTGGAATCGATGCGAGCGAAGCCGCGGGTAAAAGCAAGTATATAATATAATGTAGCTGTATAATAACTTATTATATTATATAAAAAAATATGTCAAAGGATTTTATGGAATTATCAAGGAATAAAATAGTACTAAATACATTTTTTATTTTAAGGCTATTCATCCATTTCAGCTTTAAAATTTGTAATAGTGTAATTTCAAACGATATGAAAAGGAAAGTAAAAAAATGTGTTCAAAGTATTTACCATTACTTTTTACACATTTTTAATAACTTTCTGGCAATTTGTGGATACCATGCCAATAAAAATATTCATCTTTTGAAGCTAATCAATCAGACAATTTTCGACTTCTGAGTAAGAATCAAAGTGCTGCTCAGTCAATGCGTGTTTCATCGATGAAAACAAACGGTAATCGAAATGGGCCAAGTCTGGTAAATACGGCGGGTGGGGCAGCAGCTCCCAGCCATGTACTTTGAATGTATCCTGAACCGATTTTACTTTGTGTGCAGGTACATTGTCGTGTATCAAAATTATTTTGCCGTGTCTTTTGGTCCATTCTGGTCGTTTTTCGATCAATGCATGGTTCAAATTGATCATTTGTTGGCTATAGCGATTAGTGTTAACAGTTCACCAGGCTTTAAAAGATCTTGATATACCACAGCCTTCTGATCCCACCAAACAAAGAGCATTGCCTTTTTTACCGAATTGATCTGTTTTTGCAGTCGATGTTGACGGTTGTCCCGCATTAATCCATGATTTTCTTCGTTTAAGATGTTTAAAAAATCCATTTATCATCGCCTGTGACGATTTTATGCAAAACTGATTTTCTTTCGTGTCTCTGAAGCAAACTTTCCCAAGTGTTTTTTCGGTTTTCCATTTGTCTTTCATTCAATTCATGTGGCACCCATTTTCGACACTTTTGAATCTTTCCCATAGCTTTCAAACGGTAAGACCTGGTTGTGTGTTGTGCAACTTTTACTTGGCTGTCATTTGCTTTTGACTCAAAGTATCGTCTTCATCCAATATTGCTTGCAGTTCAGAGTGTTCAAACTTTTTTGGTGGTCTTCCACGTTCTTCATTTCTCACATCGAAATCATTCTCTCTGAACCGTTGAAACTATCTTTTGCATGCTGCTTCTGATAGAGCATAATCAACATATACCTCGACAAGCATTCGATGCGACTATACAGCACTTTTCTTCAAATAGAAACACAAAATTAATGCCTTCCGCAAATCATTACATTCCGCTACAAAATTTGACATTTTTAACCCAATGAAAAAAGATGGTGTTGTTTGTTCAATGACTGTGGGTGACTTGTGCACAACAAATATTCCCCATCAACATATTTGTATCTTAACGCTCATTTCATACCGGTATACCTGGTATTTAGAATTAGCATAGAGTTGGTTTTTATGGCCATCAGACTATGTGTGCAATTTGTATTGATATTAAAGCGATTATTATAATAAGATATTATTTTTTATACCCTGAAAAGGGTATATTTATTTTGCCACGAAGTTTGTAACACCCAGAAGGAATCGTCGGAGACCATATAAAGTATATATATAAATGATCGCCGTGACGAGCTGAGTTGATTTAGCCATGTCCGTCCGTCTGTCCGTCTGTATATACGCGAACTAGTCCCTCAGTTTTGGAGATATCGATCTGAAATTTTGCACCTGTCCTTCTCTAACAAAGAAGCTGCTCATTTGTGGGAACGGCCGATTTCGGACCACTATAGCATATAGCTGCCATACAAACTGAACGGAATCAAGTGTTTGTATGGAAAACTCTTTCATTTGACGAGGTATCTTCATGAAATTTGGCGCGTGTTATTATTTAAGGCAATTATCTAATCCTCGAAGAAATAATATAGATCGGATGACTATAGCATATAGCTGCCATACAAACTGAACAAACGGAATGAAGCGCTTGTATAGGAAACTCTTTCATTTGACAAGCTATCTTCACGAAATTTTGCATGTAATATTATTTAAGGCAACAATTTAATCTCCGAAGAAATTGTATAGATCGGATGACTATAGCATATAGCTGCCATATTAACTGAACGATCGGAGTAAAGTGCTTGCTTGGAAATTTATTTTATTTGACGAGGTATCTTCACGAAATTAGGCACGAGTTATTGCTTAAGGCAACAAATTATTCTCCACAGAAATTGGTCAGATCAAATCACTATATCATATAGCTGCTATATAAATTGAACGTTCGTAATCAAGTTCTTGTAAGGGGCCTTTGTATTTGTGAAGGGTATTATAGCTTCGGCGCAACCGACGTTTTTTATTGTTTTTACATAACATTACACCTCTACGTAAGGGCAGCTGTGAACTCAGACGTTATGTCTAAATGAGGGTGAAGCAGCGCCCCTTAACTTCGTCCAGTGATAAGGT